TTTTTTTTTTTTTTTTTTTTTTTTTTTTTTGAGAAGTTGTTGCTTTATATTAGGATCCCAGTCAAAAATTTGACCTCTGTGTCTAAATCCTGAGCCTCATCCGAACTTTATCCGAACCTTATCCGAATCTTATATCCGGATCTTATCCGAACCTGAACTTGATTCGGACCTGATCTGATCCCAATCTTATCCGAATCATCTCCGCGCGTTATCCGAAAATGATCCGAACCTTATAAATAACCTGAGAACGAATGTATATAGTCGAATAGATGGCCAGATTCGTGCTAACCTGATCCAATCCCAATCTTATCCAAATAATCTCCGACGAATGTTATCCGAAAATGATCCGAACCTTATTATGGGCCTCGCTCCACTACTCTAGACTCCCGAAGTTTCTAGCGTAACGCCTCGCTGCACTTACTCTAGTGTACTGGAACTCGTGACAACACCCTCCCTTCGAGAGAGAGCTGTCAGAAAGCGCTCTTGAAAGGGGGCACTCTCGATTTGTATAGAGTTCACAGCCTGCAACGCTCAGGTTTTCTAGCGTCCTCCTCCCTCCTACCCCCGCTCCGGCCTCTTTTTTTTGCCGAGTGTGCCTCCTGGCCCGACCATCAGAACGCTCCCTCCTCCCTTTCTAGCATTGTTATCTAGCGCTGTAGAAGGGCTGTCAGTCGTGTAGCGCTGAGAAATTTGTGAGTGCTTCTAGTGTTCTTGAGTCTGGAGTTCTAGTGGAGCGATGCTTCTTTTTTCAAGAGTTCTACCTTCTTCCCCCGAACACAACATACCGTCATTACAGCTGTATTTGCGGCATGTTTCCGTCTAGATACAGCTATAATGACCGTACGTTGTATTCGGGGGAAGAAGGGTAGACCTCTGACAGCTCTAGAAGCACTCACAATTTTTTGTTCGTGAGTCTAGTGTAGTGGAGCGAGACCCAATATCCCCTGAGAACGAATGTATTTAGTCGAATAGATGGCCAGATTCATGCTATCCTGATCCGATCCCAATCTTATCCGAATCATCTCCGAACGTTATCCGCAAATTATCCGAACTTACTTCGTAGCTTCTTCAAACACTTATATCCAAAACCTTATCCGAATCCGATCCGCACCTGATACCTGATCGGAACTGGATCCGAACCCGATCCGACCCAAAGCTTATCCAAACCTTATCCGAACCTGATGCGAACGTTATCCGGACCATATTCGAAGAACCTTAGCTGAACCTGATCGAAAACCTTTTTTCTTTTTCCTGATTCTAACCTTATCCAAACCTTGTCGGCACGTGTTCCGAAACGGATTCCCGTACGCGATCCGATCCGATCCGAAGCTTATCGAAACCATATCCGAACCTGATGCAAATCCTTCATTGGCGAAGCAACGATTTGGTTATGGTGCGCCGTGCGTAAGAGGACACACGAAGTGCTGCGCCCTCGTCGACATATTCTCTGGGGCGTAAGAGGACACACGAAGTGCTGCGCCCTCGTCGACATATTCTCTGGGCGTTGGTCACGACTCTCTCTGGAACGCTACCGAAACATTGTCCGCCGAACCTTATCCGAACCTCTTATCCGAACCTTATGGGAAGTGATCCGTACCTTATCCGAAGCCTATCTGAATCGTATTGGAATGAGATGTGAATGGGACCTCTATCTCTGCTCATAGCTGCTTCCACCCGAGCTGACGTGGTGTGTTGTGCGGCGCGTAGGTGTACAGCAAGCAAGGTAGTTCGTGTGCGCTAACGGCGAGGCAGTTCTGCCTAGTTGGTTGCCTCTTGGAATCCACGTGGTCGGTTGGTTGTCCACACCCTAAAGCATTCCTTCGTCGATCTCGCACCATCTTCTAGCTCGCCACGTCATCGCGCTCAGTTTTCTGGTGAAGGAAATCCCCAAGGCCCAGTCGGCACGTGCGTTCGCAGCAGAACGAATATCCAGCTGAATATGCGCCCGACCCCTTCTTCCTCCCAAAAAAAACAACGTACGTTCATTATGGCCGTATTTTTCGAGGTATCTTTCAGTTCCAAATACAGCTATAATGACCGTACGATACAGCTATAATGACCGTACGTTGTATTTGGGGGAAGAAGGGTAGTTACCCCCTTTTTTGTTTTTGTTTTTTTTTTTCTACGCGAAAACCTGATGAATGGCATATTACGATCCGATCAGCAAGTCACGACCTCGCCTGTGTGTGCGCACGTGTTGGGGCGTTGCAGCACCACTTGTGACGCGAAGCTGCTGCAAACGGGGTCTGGATCGTGTGCAGGCAAGCACGCAAGCTTTGGCTGTTCTCTTCTTCGCTTGCAAGCTGTTTTTGCCTTTGCCTGCAAAGATCTGCATCCTGTGCAGCTTTGGCTGTTCTTTTCTGGACCGAGCGATGAAGTGATTGGTCTGCTGAGTCAGCAAAAGGGAGTTCTTTTATTCTTTTCTCTTAGCGAAAGGGTGTTCTTTTTTGCTTGCAGGCGATGCTATCGTTCTGGGAGACAACAGAGTGGCAGACACTTGATTGTGGTCTGTGAATTGTTCAAGTTCGAAGTAAAAAGAAAAGGTAAAAAGTTAAAAGCTTACTAAAAAGTAACTAAAAGTAGAAAAGAGGGTTGGATATAATCTACTACGGTAATTTCCATAGTAATCTTGAATTACCTGGGCCCAGTCACGTGTGGATATATATCTGAAGACTTCCGCCCTTGATACTAAAAAAAATGGAGAAAAGAGGGTGGGAATGCGTGTGATTGAGTGCGTGCGCTTTCTGGGTCGGGCAAAATGATATTTCGTTGCTTGCAGCCTTGCAGGTGTGCTGTTTTCTGCACGTCAGAGTGGCAGACACTTTGGTGTTGGCTTATTATATTATATGGATTGAGCGTTGAAAGCGTGTTGGCTTATTATTATATGGATTGAGAGCTGGAAGCGTGTCACATGCCTGCTGCAAGGTTGGCGCCTCTTCGATGCTTGTCGGTGGCGTGCTGCACTTGTAGGCGTGCTAAAAATAGCAGAGGACGGACAGGTGGCAGTGCTTCTGGGGAAAAAAAAACACTTTCTGTGAGTTCGTGAATGTGCGCAGCTGTGGAGTTTGATGGCGATTCTTACTTCTTTGTGTGCTGCCTTCTTGTTTTTTTTTTTTGTTTTTTTTTTTTCCTGTTCTGTTTGTTGTGTTTATTTTCTTGTTGATTGATCACAGGTGAAATTCTATACATTGATTGGCCATTGATGCGACTCCCTAAGTAGATAGATATAATAAGCCACAGAAAGCAATAGCGATTGATAGACCGATTGATCTCGGGGTGTGGGGAGGGAGGGAGAGAGAGAGAGAGAGAGAGAGAGAGAGAGAGAGAGAGAGAGAGAGAGAGAGAGAGAGAGAGAGAGAGAGAGAGGGGGAGGAGAAAAAGAGGCTGCACCAAGGGTAGGTCAGGAATCTCAACAACATGCTCTCAAGGGGGATTTGCAATTTTTCTGAATTGCCTGCTGTCCCACATGTGGCGGAAGGGAGGGAGGAGGGAGGAGGGAGGACATGCCTTGTGCCGAAGGGCTAACAGATGGCAGTACTTGAGACATATGGTTGCTCCTTTTCTGATAGAAGGCCGAATCGGGCCCTCAGGAGTGAAGCTTCACTTGTGCTGAGCCAGGAGAGCAAGGATGGGAATTTGGCACTCCTTTGTTGATCGATGAATGGTGTGATTGATTGACCGCTGATGTGACTGTATAAATAGAGAGATACGTAGCTGCAGTGGAAGAGGGAGAAGAGCACAGGACTGAGCTGAGGGGAACACGGGATTCTCGGCAGCATGCTCTCGCGGGGGATCTATGACTCTACCAAATTGCCTGTGGTACCAAATGTGGGGGAGGGGAGGGAGGGGTGGGGGGGGCTAGAGTCTAGAGGTGGGGGAAAGAGGAGGGAAGAATTGACGACGCATGGTCATCGTCACTGCTATTCTGCTGCAACTGCGAATCGACCCCTCAGAAGCAAAACGGTGCTTCTGGCGGCGAACCAGCATGGGAAGCGCGAGGCTTTGTCACATGATCGATGCTTTTGTGGTGTCTGCGGTGCCGTCTGGAACCAGAGGCGCTCCTCCATATCCAGAGCTCAGAGTCATGGTCCTCTCCGAAGAGGAAACAATGGCGGTCTCACGGAGTGTGAGGTAGGTGCACTGCGACAAAGAGAGAAGCAGATGATCTCCTCCCTCCAGCGAGTGTGCAGGGGATCAAGTCTCACTCGTACAAACATCGTGGGTCAGCTTCGTCAGAAAGGGAATGTGTCTGACGTTGGCCTGTACCGCCCTTTGCAGGTTACGAGGGTTGATAGGCGCGGGCGCTCCGTCTCTGTGGCAGATGGGAGGGTAAGGTGTTCGGCATTGGCCGTGGAACATGCACATGGCGAGGGATTGAATGAAAGGGGAAGTATATGGGTTGGCACTTCCTCGGTGGAGGCCGGACAGTCCAATGGATGCTTGTACATGGAAGAAGATTGTGGAGATGGCGGGGACTCTGACGGTGGTCATGGAGGTGGGGAGGGGGGTTCGTTTGACGGTAGTTCGCATGGTGATGAGGGGGGAGGGGAGGAAAGGGAGGGAGAATGGGTGCAAGCGGTCATGGGTAATGCCTTTAAGTTTCTACGGGAATCCCCGCGACAGCTGCCGCTCCTAATGAGTGGGAAGAGGAGCACAAAGCAAATCACGCAGCAACCGTGGTTGACTCTGCATGCCAAATACATGGGATCTGTCTTAGCCATTGCTGCTTCTATGTTTGGGTTGGCAGTGTTGCCGACTGCGATCGCTCTGACAGCTATACCCGTTCCCCTCACACCCAAGACTCTGCCTCATCACCATGCGACGGATGACGTCATAAACACCGCCGTCCCTGCATTTGACGAGGAGGAAGAGGGAACAGATCTTAGTGACAGGGAGAATGACAGTCCTGTTGAAGACAAGATTCAAGAAGCACTCTTGTCGACAAACGGATTGACAGCGATGACTGGAAACACCCACAGTGGTCTGCGTGGGGTCAAAGGGTATCACTCTGCGGTCGAACGGGAAGGAGGTGGTGATCAGGAGGGTGTCAATGCGGATAAGAACGTGGATAGCGCCGAAGGGGAGAAGATTCCAGGCGGCGTAGTGTGGGAAATTCAGGGTAACATGTGGCGCCGACTTGTCGCCGCCAAGGATGACACATTCGTCGTCGATCGGACGCTGAAGGCGGGGGCGGCTTCTGCGGAGCTGACCTGCGAAAGCATGGAGAAGTTTATGCGAGCAGAGGAGGAAGAGTCTTCCAAAGTAGGGCAGGAAAAGACAGGACAGAAGGCAGATCGACGTAACGGGGACTCGTCGGGGCCTCTTCCCTTGGATGATGATGGGTTGATTGCTTTCGTGAGGCACGAGTTTCGGAAGGGCATTGAATGGGCGGTGGAGGGTTTAAAAGGGGTCATGCTGCCGGAGGGATTCCCGCAGAGTGTCAGTGATGATTACGTGGCACACACGCAGTGGAGGATGGGACAGGTTGCCGCCAGCCAGGTGAACTTTGTGCTCTGCACGCAGGCGCTACTCTACGCTGTCGGACTGGGTAAAGGCGCAATTCCCACTGCAGCTGCCATCAACTGGGTGCTGAAGGACGGAGTCGGCTTCCTGAGCAAGCTGATCCTGACGAAATATGGCCGCGACTTCGATGAAAACCCCAAGTCGTGGAGGTTTTTGGCCGACTTCGGAGAGAACATTGCCTATGGGTTGGAACTGATGACACCGACGTTTCCGCATCTGTTTGTGTTCCTCGGTGCTGGTGCTGGAGCAGTTCGCGCTTCGTCGGGGCTCATACAGGCCGCCACAAGGGGTTGCTTCAATGCCAGCTTTGCGGCTCAGGTAATGATAATGCGGTTTTCGTTTTGAGTTTCGTAGTCGAGTATCCAATCTGATCAATACTGATCACGTTAATTCCCTTCCCCCCCCCACCCCCCTCGCTCCCCCTCTTTGCAGCTTATTGCAATGATTAAATGCATTGAACCCACCACCCAGACTGCCAAACCCGAACTCAGGATCCTAAAGCTTCAAATTGTAAACTCGAAGCCGCAAACTGCACATCCTAAACCCTAAATCTTGAACATGGTCTGAACTTCTCTGAAGGGTGCTGACTTTGGAGAGTCTACAGAGTGTCTAGAGGGAGTCTACAGGGAGTCTGAGGGAGAGAGTCTACAGGAGAGAGAGTCTACAGCGAGAGCGTCTACAGGAGAGAGAGTCTACAGCGAGAGCGTCTACAGGAGAGAGAGTCTACAGCGAGAGCGTCTACAGGAGAGAGAGTCTACAGAGTCTACAGGGAGGGAGTCTACAGAGAGAGACACATCCTGTCGGGCGCGAACTTGAGGGTGTGAAAGTGCATAGACCCGTACGATTTTGTTTGTTGGAGTTTTAAATTCGAAAATCTGAGCCCATCTGGCTGAATGGTACACCCATGAACTGTTGAAAGACCGACCCGAGTTCGTGTCCTGGTGGAATCAGATGAGTGGAATAACTGCCAATCACCTGGGTCGGTCTTTCAACAGTTCGACGATGATACCTCAAAGCCGTCGCCACGTTTTGCAAGAAAACAAAACAAAAAACTCGAAGCCGTTTTAACTTTCAAGTCCTAAACCCAAAACTGAACAACTCCGAACCGCTACCAGAAAAGTGAGAAAATACAGATGCTGCTGTCAACTGAAGCCTTGTATGACCCTGCACTCTGAAGCGTACGCTGACGTCAGAGTGTCTACCGAACCTGAAGTGTGAAACTGTATCTCATCAGCTTGTGGAGTTTTTTTCTGAACCTACTGTCTTTTAACACTCCTCATGCCGATGAGATGCACTCCACTTCTGAAACGTAGGCTGACGTCAGAGCGTCTTTCAACACTCCACATGCCGATGCACTGGCGCGGGTACGTTTCAGACAGTAATAACTGGGTTTACCGATCGAGGATGCATATTGACAGCACTCCCTGATTGAGAACGCTTATTGACTCCCTGTGAAGGCCCACGTAAGTTTCAGTTTCAGACAGTAACAACTGGGTTTACCGTGGTTAATACTGGTTACCCCAAAAAGGAAAAGGCAGTACCGGGACGGCCTGGCGTGCAGACGGATGTTCATGAGGCAGGAGGATGGTAGGCCAGTCATGCTTAAGTGTATCCACGATAAACCCAGCTGCTGTTGTCTGAAACGATACCTGATCACTGCGGCGTGTGCAGTCGTACAAGAACGTCACAGCAAGGGGTTGGGGGGAGTTGGGGGGGTGGGCGTAGGCACCGGGCAGATGAGTTGACGGAATGTTGTTGTGGCAGGGCAGGGGGCCTACCCTCCCTCCTCCTCCT